GGTCACAGATGCACGAGAGTTGTGCTCTCGGTGCACCACAACCTCTCGTGCTACACACGAAAGTAGGTTCTCTCGGTTCGGTTTTGGCCGAACCAAGTGACTATATCAGATGGAAAAAGATACCGAAGTAGGTTCCGGACGACATTCGTGTCCGCGGGTACCGGCGCACGCGAGCTCGTGCTTGAATCAAGCTTTTTCGATGTCCTCTAGTTGGATTTTGATTTGCACCCACCCCCCCCCCCCCCCCCCCCGCGCGAGAGAGCCTCTATGCTATACAATTCTACAAACTTGAAAAGAGCTCATGTATATAAGGGGGGCAAATCTTGTTTCCAAACCAATGTGGGACAAAGTCCTACATTTTCCCTTCATTTCCCAACTTAAATGGGTCTACTTTGAGAATCAATATCTCATTCACCCATTATCCGTTTTGAGCGTACAATATATTAATCTCTTCGTCTTACTACGAAGAACCCGAATCCTCTTTGACCCGACCCAAATCGGAAGTGGACCCCACTGATAATTGTACCACAAAATAGCCACTTAATATGTCATTTTAAGCTAATTTTTCCAACACCTTAGGCCTACCGACCGTGCCGAGACGAACCCGAGCTTATGCCTACGCTTGTAGGGCTTTTGGCCTACCGACCATGCCAGGACAGACCCGGGCTTATGCCTACGCTTGTAGGGCTTTTGGCCTATCGACCATGCCGGGACGGACCCGGACTTATGCCTACGCTTGTAGGGCTTCTGGCCTACCGACCATGTCGGGACGGACCCGGGCTTATGCCTACCCTCGTAGGGCTTTGATGGACAATTTTAATATAGTCCTCGCAAGTGCACGAGTCAATTGCAGTGATAGTGTGCTTCGTAAGGGTCAAACCCACATGGAATTGATAAAATGCAATTTAATTGAAATAAATGTTTTAAAGTACTCAAAGTGAAATAAGTGTACGTAATATCAATAGTAAAAACTAAACCAAATGCTATATAGAAAATCAAGAGAAGAAATGTGCTATTAAAAATCAGGAAAATAAGGTTGAAAATAAATTTGCAGCTAATAAGAAAATAGAAGCTCTAGGAAACGTAACAACGCAATTTGTAAACTAAAAAATGATTACTTAACAATTTAAAGTGATCAGGATCAATCAACATTCAGACTTGATTTAACTAAATGAAATTGTAAGTGAAAATAAGGCACGAAAGATAATAAAATAACAAAATAGCAAATATGACAAGGGAACAAAGACCAGGAACACGAATCAATAAATCAATTATATTATCATTACAGTAAAAGAATCGCGATTAACAAATAATTAAGCACTAAACTAAACACTGTAATTAACATTAGCATTGTAATTAAACTTTAAGTACGTACTAAGCAAGGTGATTAGCATAATAATTAAGATTTGGGAGAAGCATAATAATTCAGATGTATGAATTGAAACACAGTACACTATCACATACTTGAATATAAAACTTTGATTGAGAACAAACTCCAATGCATATTAAAAAGAGAAAAACCAAAAACGTTCTAATCTGTTGTCGAACCAAATTTACGCCCAGGCAATGAAGCTGCGGCTAGATAAATCCACTAAAGAGACAGATTGCTGCGACTCGGAAATTGCCGAACTACCGCCGGAATTAGAGATGCCAACGTCGCCGTCGGAGCTCGCCGTACCTGCGAACGTCGACCGAAGTACCTCAGTTTAACTCGCCGAACAGAACTTGACGAGGAGAATGATGCCGTCTTCTTCCTAATCTCCCTCTATTTATAGCACTCGGTTCAACAATGTTGCCCAAATTTGCGTAGCCATCGATCGGTTCTTCTCCAAATTCTGTGCTCCTCCAGGGCTGATCAACAAGCTGCGATCTTCTTTCTCGGCGGTGGTGTCGACTGGCTGATTTGAAACTATTATACTCCGCACAAAAACTTCCACTAATAATAATAATTTTTCATTTATTTAAAACACATTTAAAAGCTAATATTATTAGAGTCCATTTTAAACTCCTAACCAACACTACTAAAATTAATATTATTATTATTATTAAGAAATTATTGGACTGACAATTTTAATAACAAAATTAATTTAATAACAAAAACAACACCAAAAATTAACAATATTAATAAAAATTACTTATAGCAATAATAAATAAAAATAGATAAAAATTAATTAATTATTTGTAACTTAATTATAAAAAGATTATTTAAAATAACAATAAAAATAATGTTTATCAGGCTTCTTGGCCTACCGAACGTGCCGAGACGAACCCAGGCTTATGCCTACCTTCATAGGGCTTGTTAGCTTACCGACCGTGTCAGGACGGACCCGGGCTTATGTCTACCCTCGTAGGGCTTGTTAGCCTACCGACCGTGCCGGGACGGACCGGGGCTTATGCCTACCCTCGTAGGGTTTGTTGGCCTACCGACCGTGTCAGGACGGATCCGGGCTTATGCCTACCCTCGTAGGTCTTATTGGCCTACCGACCATGCCGGGACGGACCCGGGCTTATGCCTACCTTCGTAGGGCTTCTCCGGTTTACCGACCATGCCACGATGGACCCGAACTTATGCCGGTGATGGTAAAGCCGATCTAACCCGACTTTAGGTGTCGGTGGTGAAAATACCAACCTAACCGAACTTATTACAACTAATGCCTATTATAATTTTCTAAGTACAATTATAAGGCACTTAACGTATACAATTTGTACTAGGCCTATTTTAAGTACAATTTAGAAAACAAAGCATGATGACTTCAATTGGGGATACCATCATTAATTCCATGCACCTTGGTTTGCCGCATCACACTGGATTAACAAATTAAAGGATATATGGACATGCATTTACCCAGGAAGAAGAGAGATCGGAGGTCGCCGGTCTTCACTCCCTCTTGCTTGTCAACATGCAGCAGCGGCCACCAACAGGTAGATCCGGCAGCGGTGGTGCATGCAAGCCGCGACAGCAGCAACACCGTCTTGCAGCTTCTTCGTCCGATTTGCACTTGGCAGCGGAATGGTCTTCGTCGGATCCCCAGAGTCGCAACAGACAGACAGGGAAAATAAACCCAACAAATTCCAGAAAATTTCGAACCAAGTGAAGGACTTAGCATCTGACATTTTCCCTTTTTTGCAGATTAAACTTCTGCATGGTTGAGGAACACGGCTTTCTTGCTGCATTCCTCACAGACGGCACCATTTGATGTGGATAATTGTCCGAGTGTATACTGTACCGTATGTATAGAGCAAGTAATAAAGGAAAGAAGTCATAAGTGTAGCTCAAAAATGCCTTTTATTCATTGTATAATAGAGAGAGTTGAGAGACTTCTAAGTGTAGAGAGAGGGAAAAAGCCACTTAAGATGAAGGGTCAAGGCCTTAATTATAGCCCCAAGAGTTGACGGGTTTGACTTTGACTCGTTGACCCGAACCGTTTGACCCCGACTCAAACAGGAGCACAGAATGTACGGAGAGTACTCCCCGTCAATTATTATTATTATTATTATTATTATTATTATTATTATTATTATTATTATTATTATTATTATTATGTTAAGAAATATTTTACAGTAATAAGTAAGTTATGAATAATAAAAGTTAACGAAATATTCTGTTACTAGAATATATATATATATATATATATATATATATATATATATATATAAAATTAGGTTCTTGAATTGTGCGATTCGAAGCCCCAAGTGTGATTGTGTGGTGAGAGGAGAGCTATTGATTTTGTTTAAATCAATGTTCAGATTACTAAAATTAAAAAAAAAATGCGGTGGCAATTTGGTAATTTTTGTAACTAGGTCAAATTTAATGTGCGTGAGTTTTGTACTTAAGGTGCGTGTGTTTTGTGCTTTAAGGTGCGTATGTTTTGTACTTAATGTGAGTAATTGTTGAAACTTAAGGTGCGTGAGTTTTGTGCTTAAGATGGGTGGGTTTTGTGCTTAAGGTGCGTGAGTTTTTGTGCTTAAGGTGTGTTCTTCTTTGCGCACCCTTCTCTGTGAGTCACGGGTAGTTCAGACCCTCAAGGAGAACAAAACTTTTGAACTGAGGGGTGGTTCAGACCCACAAGAAAAAACAAAATTTTTGAACTATGGGGTGGTTCAGACCCTCAAGAACAAAACTTTTGAACAAAACTTAACGTGCGACATTTTAACATTTTAGGTGCGTGAGTTTTGTGCTTAAGGTGCGTGGGTTTTGTGTGCTTAGTGCTTCCTGTTTCTTCTTTGCGCACCCTTTCTCTGTGAGTCATGGGTAGTTCAGACCCTCAAGAAGAACAAAACTTTTGAACTGAGGGGTGGTTCAGACCCACAAGAAAGAACAAAACTTTTGAACTGAGAAGTGGTTGAGACCCTCAAGAATAAAACTTTTGAACAAAACTTAACGTGCATCATTTTAACGCTTAAGATGCGTTGTTATAACACTTAAGGTGCGTGTTTCTCACTTAATGTGCGTCATTTTTAGCTCCTTTCTTTCAGTTTTTTGTTTTGTTTTTTTTTTTTTTTTTTAATTTTCATTGATTTGAGTCGTCACTACAAGAAAATTGTCCATTAATGAGAGGTAAAACCGTCACTAAAAATCCAAAAACCATCATAAAAGACTTTTAATGACGGGAAATTTACCGTCACCACCCGTCGTTATTTCTTCCGTAGATAAAAACAAATAGTGACGGGATATGATACCATCATTAATAAGCAATTTAGTGATAGTGTGTTTACCGTCACTAAAACGTTCTTTTTACGACAAAAAATCCCGTCACTAATACAACTACTCACTAGCATAATTTCCTCTCATTATATTCTTATAACGATAGAAAATACCGTCATTAATACTACTATTTACTAACAAATAGTATTATTTTTTAATTTGTATATATATTATTACTTCTCATTAAATATTCATTTTTGTAATACATTTCTTTTTCTCACTAATCGATATTATGTTATGTTATAAATATAAATATTATATTGATATATAATGCAATTAAAGTAAACCCGATCAATATATTAAAAGACTTCATCATTAATACCAAAATAAAATGTTTCATACAACTTTGTAAAGACTAAAGACAAAGAAATTAATTATAACAAATAGCCATAGTAATGTATCTGTTGGCTAGCTATTTTGCCAGAAGTCTTTTGTATTTGAACTAATTTTGCTCAAGTCATGCAAGATCAGTGGTAACTCCTGCTTATCATCTCACTTCCTGCTTTGGAATCACAGGCCTCTGTCTCTTGACTGCCAATAAAACCCCAAAATGTTTTAGTATAATCTTAAAGACATACAATTTCCAAGCTTAGAATTCATCAAATGATCTATCAATATTTGTAACAGAGCAAGGAGAAAACAAAAGGGTGACATCTACTATGGCATATGATTAAACAAAAATTTTACGTTAAGATTAATAATAATCACATAATGATAATACAGATTGCAATAGAACTATTATGTGTGTACATCGCCCTATTCTTTTTTATTATTTCAATAGTTTAGTGACATTATACACATATCCTGGGAAACAAAGTCAAATATAAATTGAATGGTCCATGATCTTAGTTCACAAGACAGAGAAAAAGAACCGTTAATATATAACATTGAGCATTAGAAACATACCTTCATAAAATGTTGATTCGATGAAACTGTCCTTCAAGAGCAATGATACCTATATTAAACATAAAGACCTGAGTCATACCATCATGCCTCCTCAATATGCACTTAAAATTATTTTGTTGTATAGAATTAAGAATAGAATAGTATACAGCTATATGCTCAAAATTCTTGAAACTACAGCAATATAGTGTATGCATGTCTTGGTGAGCAATATTGAACAACAAAAATCAAAATCTTTATCACAATCTAATTAAATTTCAAATGTGTACCAATTCATGAGTATAGAACAAAGAATACGCAATAATTTAATCTAATCCATAGTTTATAATGAAACCACAAAATAAAAAGCATATATAAACATGAGACAGCAGCGCAGATGACTTGGGCGAAGAAAGCAACATGCATAAGCCCCTCTCTGCTGTTAGTGAAAAGAACCAGAAGGGCAGCAATGTAACTTCCATCTAAAGTTTGTTACCAGCGGTTATTAGCTCTCAGCTTTGTCACCTTCGTATATAACCAGCGTGTAAAGTTTTGTCCTCTATTCATTCATTTTTTCATCAATAACAAACTCCGTTCACATCTTTCTTTCACTCATGTAACTCCTCCGATATGGTATCAGAGCCACGATCTCACGCCGCCGTCGTCGTCTCAGGCACCGGCGAAACCAGTCAAGGAACGCAGCCTCAGTTCCCGATCAACCAGACACCTACCGTCACCCTTCCTACGGTGGTTCCGCAGAGGAACTCGCCGTCTCGAACTTACAGAAGACTCAGTGCAGAGGAATTGGAGAATCCATTCCTCCTCAGTGCAAATGATAACCCTAGCTCGGTGTTAGTCAGTTCACCGCTGTTAGGGAGCTCAAACTACGGAACCTGGAGACGTTGCAACTTGCTAGTTTGCTCCTGGTTGTTTCAATCTGTTCACCAATCCATATCACAAAGCATGGTGCATCTGGACAAAGCCAGAGACGTATGGGAGGATTTGAAGAGGAGATTCGCGCAACGTGATACTCAACGGATCTCCGTGATACAGAATGAAATCTCTATTATGCAACCTCAGACTGGCCAGCCTTCCAGTACAGGAACTACTGCTGCAGTCTCTTTGAGTCCACACTTCAATCCGCAAACTGATGATGTTAGAGGCAAGCATTCTAAAACTGTTGTCAATTCCCTTTCAATATGTCAATCTTCTTGGATTCTTGATTCAGGGGCAACGAATCATATTGTCTGCTCTTTGGATTTCCTTGTTGATCATCATGAGGCTAATGGAATCAAGGTCAACCTCCCCACTGGCCAAACTATTGATGTTAAACATGTAGGAAGTGTGAAATTGAATGATAAACTCTGGCTGAAAGAAGCTCTACACATCCCTTCTTTTCAGTTTAACATCATCTCGGCCAGTAAGCTTATACAAGATGCAGATTGTAAACTGATTTTTATGTCTGGACAATGTCTCATTCAGGAGAAACATGGGGTGATGGCTGGTATAGCTAAAGAAGATAGAGGACTGTATTTCCTAACACAAGCACCTGTGTTACCGGATACACAATTTGTGTTACAGTGTACTAGAAGTGAGCTTTGGCATCAAAGATTAGGCCACTTCCCAGTTAACAAGCTACATTTGTTGAAAAATATTGAAGTTTCTGTTAATAAAAATGTGGCGTGTGATGTGTGTCACTTAGCTAAACATAAACGCTCTCCCTTCCTGATTAGTACTACTGTCTCAAAAGCACAATTTGATCTTATACACATTGATATATGGGGGCCGTTTCCAGTACAATCTTTACAAGGGGAAAGGTATTTTCTAACAATAGTTGATGATTTCTCTAGATTTACTTGGATCCACCTTATGCAGAATAAATCAGAGGCGAGACAGCTTATAAGGAATTTTCATGCTTTCGTTCTTACTCAGTTTGGGACTCTGATTAAAATTATCCGAAGCGATAATGGCTCTGAGTTCAACTTCACAGATTTTTTCTCAGAAAAAGGCATGATTCATCAGCGGTCTTGCGTATATACTCCACAGCAGAATGCTGTTGTCGAGCGAAAGCATCAACATGTCCTTAATGTTGCGAGATCTTTGCGGTTCCAAGCTAATCTACCTTTGAAATTCTGGGGTCACTGCATCATGCATGCTACATTCCTAATCAACAGGCTTCCATCTCCTATTATTGGGGGACTAAGTCCCTATCAGACGTTATATGGCAAGCTTCCAGATTTCAGCAATCTCAAAGTCCTTGGCTGTCTTTGCTACGCCTCCACACTGTCTCATGCAAGACACAAATTGGCTCCAAGAGGAAGAAAGTGTATCTTTATTGGCCTCCCTGCGGATGTTAAAGGATATGTCTTGTATGACATTAAAGAGAAGCAAACATTTATATCACGAGATGTGGTATTCTATGAGGATCAATTCCCAATGGTTAAGGAGGAAAGTTCAATGAAGATACATGAGTTGATACCTGAACCTTCCTTACCTATTATTCCTACTAATACTCCTCTTGATTTTGTCACTTCTGATTCACAATTCACATCACAACATAAAGCTGCTGAGCTCTTAGAAGACTCCCACATCCAGCCTCATATGCAATCCAGTGAGTCCAAGTCCAACAACCTAGATGACACGTCCCAATATAATCATCTGCCTAGCAACAGTCCTGTGCAGTCTAATGAAGCTCATAACCAAGATAGTTCCACTGAAATCCAGCCTAGCAGTCTGCTTCTTGATCAGCCTAGGCGCTCTGAAAGAAATCGACGTGCACCTTGCAGACTTGAGGACTATTATTGCGATACAATTGTGGAAAGCAGGTCCTCCCCTCACACTTTGTCTAAAGTGATTTCATATAATAGTCTTACTTCTCCACACAGAGCCTTCTCCATGGCAGTCACCTCTATTGATGAGCCACACTCATACAATCAAGCTATAAAGTCTCAATGCTGGAAGGAGGCCATGGCAGCAGAAATAAGAGCCCTTCAAGAGAATAATACTTGGCTGTTGACAGATCTTCCCCCCGGCAAAACCCCCATCGGTTGCAAGTGGGTGTATAAAACAAAACTCAAAGCAGATGGCTCCGTAGAAAGATATAAGGCAAGACTAGTTGCCAAAGGGTATACGCAGCAACTAGGTGTTGATTACATCGAGACTTTTTTCCCCGTAGCAAGGTTAACCACCATTCGAACCTTCTTGGCCTTGGCAGCAGCTCATGCATGGTATATTCATCAACTGGACATAAATAATGCCTTCCTACATGGTGATTTAAATGAAGATGTTTACATGTTATTACCACCGGGATTTGAAGGGGGGAAACCGAATCAAGTATGCAAGTTGTTGAGATCTCTATATGGTCTGAAACAAGCTAGCCGGCAGTGGAATGCGAAGCTTAGTAGTGCATTAATTGGAATGAAGTTCCAACAATCCAAGGCCGATCCTTCTTTATTTACAAAAGGAACTGGTAAGGACTTCATGGCTCTCCTTGTATACGTAGATGACATACTAGTTACTAGCCCCAATCTACGTTTAATCCAAGACCTCAAAACATTCTTGGACAAGACTTTTAAAATCAAAGACTTGGGCAGTCTTGGATATTTTCTGGGAATCGAAGCACATAGGACTAAAGCAGGGCTGAATTTGTGTCAACGCAAATATGCGTTAGAAATCTTGAATGAGGCAGGTTTTCTTGGCTGCAAACCTACAAATACACCTATGGTTCCAAGCCACACATTGAGCAAAACTGATGGTATTCCTCTTACTGATGCAAGCAGCTATAGACGGCTGGTAGGTAGGCTGCTATATCTAACAGCAACACGGCCAGACATAGCCTATTCGGTGCAGCAACTAAGCCAATTTGTGGACTCCCCAACAGATGCACATATGACAGCAACGCATCGTGTCTTACGATACATTAAGGGAGCCCCCGGCCAAGGGATTTTCTATCCACGAGACAATACCATGCAGCTGAACATTTTTTGTGACTCGGACTGGGCAGCGTGCACTGAGACAAGGAGATCAATTACCGGTTTCTGCATTTTTCTTGGCACAGCTCTTATTTCGTGGAGATCTAAAAAGCAAGTAACGGTATCTCGTTCATCCTCAGAAGCAGAGTACAGGGCACTCGCTGCCACAGTTTGCGAAGCTCAGTGGCTAGTCATGTTATTGAATGATTTGCAGCTTTACATTAGACAAGCCAGCTACTGTGTTCTGCGATAGTAAGTCGGCCATTGCCATTGCTGAAAACCATGTTTTTCACGAACGAATGAAGCACATAGACATCGATTGCCACATCGTTCGTGAGAGAGTTGCTCAAGGGCTAATCAAATTGATGTCGATATCCTCCTCAGCTCAAGTAGCAGATGGCTTTACGAAGTCCCTTCCGGTCTCCAAGTTTCAAGCTTTCATATCTAAGCTGGGCATTCAAAATCTTCATACTCCAGCTTACGGGGGGGTAACATGAGACAGCAGCGCAGATGACTTGGGCGAAGAAAGCAACATGCATAAGCCCCTCTCTGCTGTTAGTGAAAAGAACCAGAAGGGCAGCAATGTAACTTCCATCTAAAGTTTGTTACCAGCGGTTATTAGCTCTCAGCTTTGTCACCTTCGTATATAACCAGCGTGTAAAGTTTTGTCCTCTATTCATTCATTTTTTCATCAATAACAAACTCCGTTCACATCTTTCTTTCACTCATGTAACTCCTCCGATATATACCTCATCAATCCAGTCCCACCACCGGGAACTCCGTCTCAATCTGGTTCCTAACAACATTATACATCAAAGGCTCATGCCGTTCACCTAAATTTCCATTGTCCACACAAGCAGCAAATCAACATATAATGGATTCACTCATCTCTTCATTCAAAAATATTTCTCTGTGCCTATACATACAATTTCAATTAATCTGCAAATAGAAGCAAAGTTTGTTGAACTTGAATTATCGTTTGAGTGGAAAAATGGCTTACTTGAGAATTGTTGCTGTTATGATGGTGGCCTTGATGGCTGGATCTGCCTTTGCTCAGGCACCAGGAGCCGCACCAGCTGCTTCACCGAAGAGATCTCCATCTCCGGTCGCGTCTCCACCGCAGGCAGTGCCGGCACCACGTTCTTCTCCAGCGTCCTCTCCGGCTCAGACTCCATCTGCCGCCGCTCCCTCTGAGTCACCACTCTCTTCTCCACCGGCTCCTCCGACCAGCACTCCTGCCGCCTCCACCATCGCTAATCCTCTATCCATCGCACAGGCTCCCGGAGGCGATGCTCCTTCCTCCCCTCCCAACGCCGCCGCTTTGAACAGAGTCACTCTCGTCGAATCTGCTGGTTTGGCGTTCGTCACTGCCGCTTTGCTGTTCTAAATTCTCTGATCTACCTGAGATTCTTTTCAAATACACTGGAGTTGATGATTTAGGGCTCTATATTTATATTTCATTGAATTTTTTGTAGTCATTGATTTTGACGGTGTTGATCATAGCGATTGAGGAGATTAGATGCTTTAATTCGTTTAAAAAAAAAAAAACATATAATGAGGGAGCCAGCTGCACACTTGGGGCGCCCAAAAATTTTGGTGGGAATTAAATTTCAATGAAATAATTTTCAAATACATCAATAGTGAGAGTAACAATAGTTTTTGTATCAATAGTGAGAGTATATTTTTAAAATAAATATATATTTAAAATTTTGTCACCAAATTATAAACTTTTAGTTAGAGTAATTTTTTATCCTCACAAAAACTATGTAAATACTACATTTAGTGAGGGGTTTTTCTACCCGTCACTAATTTTTCGTCACTAAAAATGATTTTTCTTGTAGTGCGTTATTTAGATTTTAATGCTTAAGGTGTATCAATCATATCGCACTATTGCACGAGAAACTTTTACCGCACCTGAACCCTTCCCTATATATATATATATATATATATATATATATATATATATATATATGAAGATATGGGGTGTATAATAATTCATAAATCACAGATGAGAGATAAACCCAACAATAAATATGTAAACAACGCAAAGAAATGCTAGATAGTAAGGACTTGTATTAATATTGAAGTGAGAAGACTTGAGACTTTTCTTGTATTAATATTGATGAGTACAATACAAGAAAGGAGACCACGAAGGCCTAATAATCTCCTCATTATTCAAGGATAGATGCAGTACGTACAGCAAACTTGAAGTTTGCATTTTATTGGTGCCGCCGTCCGGCAGACCGCCGGATCTTTCTAAACCACAGTTACGATCTTACGGAACGACGATGGTTCCTCTTCGCAATAGGGGGTTCCATTCTGGTCGAGGAGTATGCAGCCCATGCTTTCTGCTAAGCAACAGTTTGTGCAAAGTTTCCCAACTTTCTTCACCATCCTGTCCTGACGAGGGCACAGCATAACCTCTGCTCGCCCGTCGCAGTTCCGCGGGCAAGGCTTCGATTGCGCATTTGCCTGCTTCACCTCCGCAACAATGCCTGCAGCATATATAAACTCAAACCCTTTAGGGTGTGAACATGGGAATGGAAATCTGAATGAGAATCAAATATTTGTAATGTTAATGACTTTTGATGAAAATATTTTAGTAGTATGACAATTGATCCTAATATAATGACATCCAATATAATTATCCAAAGGACTAATATGAACAAAAATATTGAAACAAAAATCTAAAAGTAATAATTTAAATTTAAAAATCAGATTACCAATAAGATGAGATGATACCCTTTTTAATTAGGGGATGGAGTTTTTAATTGAAGGATAATCAAATCACATTGTTGTGTTTTAAAAAATTGTCAACTAAATATGAACTATGATTCCCGTTCATGGTGTGTAAATCTATAACCAAATAGACCTTTAGATAAAACTTTTACAGTCCTTTTGGTTGCAATGAAAGAATCAAAGGACAAATGAATTGTAATTCTGTGGACAAAGGATAAGCTGAAAATAAAGTATGAATTCAAATTCTATTGTTTCGTAGATATAAATAAAAAGAAAATAGTGAGAATTTCAATTATAATATTTCGAAAAGGGAATAACTAGTATAAAGACTAAAATGTTCGTGTAATTATAATTTATAAGGAAAAATATAGTATTATTAGGGAGAGCATTTTGATCCGTATTAAACTCCAAAATTTATTTTCATGTATTATGAAATTGCAATTTCTAGAGAATGTGAAATTTGTAATTCCCACTTCAAAATTTTACACTTTTTCGAAACTATTTGGGAATAGAATTAAATTCCTCTCTACTAGACATGCCATTATTTTCTATTAAAAGGAACAAGCTAAGTGCTAGACGACGTCGTATATACCGCAGAGGAGAAGGAGGAGGAGAGTGACGGAGCCAAGTTTGGTGCCGCTTGCTGCCATGGATGCTATCTTAGCTTCAATTCTCACTTCTTGAAAGGTGTGGTGTATGTTTGGTTGATGAGATGATAGTGTTGTACTAGCTACTATCCCATTTATAACATACACTCATCAATATAATGCCACATCACAACATTATTTATCAAACACTATTCAATAATTAATTAATTAAACAGAATAATCAATATATTCTATCTCCAGCTGTCCTCTATTCAAAATGCATGCATGCATGCAGATCAGATGTATATATTACGAGGATAGCTTGGATGTAGCCCATCTGTTTTTCTTCGTCTTTGCATGCATTGTTCTTTGTTGACACCTTGCTTTCGTGTTTGATTCCTGTGATTTTTGTATTCTTTTACTGCACTCATGTGATTAACCACCATCTATCTAACACTCTACTCTAACGTAAGTAATGGTAAACTAATCATATATGGGCAACTCAGTTGGTTTCTTGATAGTAGATTGCAAGTAAGAACACATAATCAAGTTCAAACAGTGTCAACTTGATGAAAATTTCATTTAATGTGGTGAGTTCTTGTGAGCACTCAACAGTGGTCCTCCAACTTAATTAATGGGATTCCCTCTTCAGTATTTTGTCGGATGGAGTAGAGTGGGGTTGGATAAGAAGAAAAAGAAAACGAATTTCACTTTTTGTGGGTAAGTAATGATAGTTGAAGAAAGCGAGAATTATGCTGTGCAATCGTGTTTTTTTTTAGTACTATTGACCCTGTTACATGTAGTATCTGTTCATATACTTTCTCAACCTTTCTCAACATACTGAAACCCAACGAGTCAATACCGTCTCCCAGTTAGGAGAGTCACTTCAAGTCGATCGTTTGACCACAAGGTCTTTGATAGAAAACGTGTTTATTACCAAATACTTTAATTTCTATATTATTTTTAAATGAGAAAATGAGGAATTAGTGATAGGTGACAACAATATCGAGTACGTGGTGCTCATGTATATGCACTGGATTGAGCTTAATTATATCCAAATTTTATTTCGAATATTCAAAATTTTGAGTGTTACTTTTTTAGTTTTAATCAGACTATAGGAATAATATCTATGAACGACAACATGTAAAATAATATTGAGTACGTGACCCCTGAACCCTAATACGACATGTTCAGATAGTTGATAGTCGAGTTTTAAACGTGTTAGAGTAGCATTGATATCTCATACTCGGTTGTGAGTATACTTTCATGATCAAGCCTTACGTGCATTACACAAAAAATTATAGCTAGCAACGATGACACATAACTTTATTTCATTATACTTGCCTAACAGTTAGCCCCAAATCCAGAAAATGAAACATATATGTTCGCCACAACTTCAGTGTCGGACCTGTTCAGACCTCATTCTAGTTGATGAGGGAATTGTTTTTATCCTTTGCACTCCCACAGCGAAAGATTGTTAGATGGATCAAATGGCTTCGGTCACCCTCAGGATGACTCAAGCTCAATACTGACGCTACATTCTCCAATAGTGGCATGGCAGGTGGTGCTTGTCTGATATACTCGGAGGGCTCCCTTGTTGTGGCTCTTCATTTCCCTCTGTCTGCGTCCTCGGCTTTAGAGGCGGATCAAAGGCCTTATCATTGGATCTAGCAATCAGATGGTGTGAGTTGATGGCCATTCAACCCGCGCTTGTCGAGGTGGACTCTCTCCTGCTTGCCAATTACTTTAAATTGTCTTCTTCTTCCGTTCCTTGGTTTGTTCGTGGTTCTTTTGATCGTATTTGCACATTACTTTTATCTTAATCGGATTCTATCTGTTACGTTTTTCGGGAGGCCAATAGAGTTGCTAATGCTTTAGCTTTAGTGGGCTTGATGAGAACTGATTGTATTATATTTTCTGAACTTGATTACAATGAGATCAGATGATGTGAATATATAGAATAGAGAGTCACAGTGTGACAATGATAAGAAGTAGAGAGTCACAGTGTGACAAGGATAAGAAGTTCTAAACAGACTCATATACATAGAGTCATAATACTCCCCCTCAAGCACAGTGTATACTAGTAACCTGTAGCTTGTCCCTTAAGGAAGAAAATCTAGGTCCAGGAAGAGCTTTGGTGAAGATATCAGCAAGTTGATCCTTTGTGGAGATGAAGTTGACTTGGATATCGCCCGAAGCTACTCGATCACGAACAAAATGATAATCAATCTCCACATGCTTGGTGCGGGCATGAAAGATTGGATTGGCACTCATATATGTAGCTCCTAGATTATCACACCATAATTTTGGAATGGAAATACCCGGAATCTGTATCTCACGCAATAATGACATAATCCATAGAACCTCAGCACAAACATCTGCAAGAGCTTTGTATTCAGCCTCAGTGGATGACCTGGCAACAGTTCTCTGTTTCTTGCAAACCCATGATATAAGATTACTCCCCAAGAAAACAGCAAAACCACTCGTGGATTTTCGATCGTCAGGACAACCAGCCCAATCAGAATCAGAGAAAGCATGAATGTCTCTAGATGAGCACCGTCGTATGCGTAAACCATGATCAACTGTTCCCTTAACATACCTGAGTACCCGTTTGAGCTGCTCCCAGTGTGATATGGTGGGAGCATGCATATGCTGGCATAACTGATTAACTGCAAAGGATAGGTCAGGTCGTGTGACAGTGAGATATTGCAGTGCTCCAGCTAGACTCATGTACTGTGTGGGATCATCATATAGATCTGAATTGAAGGGGACAATTTTCGAGACAGAGATAGGTGTAGAAAGGGGTTTGCATTCAGACATTCCAGCCCGTTTTAAAATATCATTCATATACCGTTGTTGAGATAAAATAATCCCATTGTCACTCTTAACTGTTTCAATACCCAGAAAAAAATTTGGTTCACCAAGATCTCTGATTTTGAATGTAGCAGACAGTTTGGACAAGAGCTGAGACATAATACCCTGATCACTTCCCATTACAAGAATGTCATCCACATACACCAATAGATAAACCAAAGCAGAGTCTTTAGAGTAATAGAACAGAGAGACATCTGTCTTGGATGCTTGAAAGCCAACCGATAGTAAGAACGTATGTAGTCGATTAAACCAAGCTCTGGGAGCTTGTTTTAACCCATACAGATATCTTTTTAACAAACAAACATGATTCGGGAAGTTAGCATCAATA